TCTGTGTTTCCACTATATATTATTTCATTTTTCAGTAAATCATCTCTCATTTTTTGTATTACTATCAAGTCTTCTTTAGAATATTTTCTGCCTTTTTGCATTTTATCTTTTAAGGATATTTTTCTTTCATCAATTTCTGGTTTAAATATAAATTCTACTGGTTTAATCACATTTGGGTCTACAAATATGTGAAATTCTTTCTTTTCTCAAAATACATTAATATATTTGGTTAAAATATGTCTAATTAGTTTCCATACTTCTAGTCCTCCAGTTTCAAGACAGCAGTCTTGAAGGATTTTAATTCTTTTCTTTTCACTTTCGATGGGTTCGTCGAAAGTAGGTAATTTTTAAAGAAAATTTTGATTAATTTTCGGTTTAAAATTTTTCCACTTTTTTGTGTTAAAATTTTTAATTTTGACATTTTCTTCATTTGCTATGTGTTGTCCTTTTTTAATTTTAAATTTTTTATCAAAATAATTCAGTATTGTTATATATTTTCTATTTGCTACCTCAGGCTGTACAATTACTGCTTCTTTGGCTTCTCTGGCTGTAGTTCCTATATTAAGATCATTTTTTATAGATTTTTAGATTTTTATATGTCCTATAGTTATTGGTGGTATATCTGTTTCTTCATTTGCTAATATTTGGTATTTAGCATTTTTTCTTTCTCGTATAGTTAGTAATATAATATATCTAATATGAGTAGGATATTGTTCTTTTATTTCTTTATAGAAATTAAGATTTACATCTGTTATATCAAATATACTTCCAGATACACCATATCTTTGTTCCGGTTCTGATTCTTCATCTATTTCTGTTTTGTGTTCAACTAGATCTTCTAGATCTGCTTTTTGTTTTGCATTTTTGATTTATGCCTGTGCTGGGTCTGTATGTTTATATATATCTCTCCAGTCATCATCTGTTAATGCTGACTGTCCTGTTAGTACTAGGTATAGGACTTTTGTCCTTTCTATTCAGATTCTATAGTTCGTGTCTATTTAGTTTCTCTTGGTTTATATCGTAGGGATAATCCTCCTGTTTCATATTCATCATTTGGATTATATAATTTTCCTTGTTGATAGTTATTCTGACTATAATCATTGTAGTCATTTGTATCTTCTTGAATATAGTCGTCTAATTCAGCTATTTGTTATGCATCTTCTTGTGTTAATTGTTCTTATTCTGTTTGCCTGAATAGTTCTTGTCTTTGTTGATTTTCTCTTTTAAATTGTTCTAATCACAGATTTCTTCTTACTGAAGATGATGATTGATTTGAGAGTTGTGACCTTTGTCTCTTATGACTATATTTTGGTAATACCAGTTTGTCATTATCGCTTGTTGGTATGTAAAGACTGCTTGATTCTGATATTATATTAGTTGGTTGTACTTCTTTTATTAGTTGTGATGATTTATGTTGATGTTGCTTAGAGTGGGATGATTGTGTCGATTGCATTGAATTTCTTCTACTTAATATCTGTTGTGCTGTGCTTAATGTACTTTGCACCATTCTTTTTGCTTTATCAAGGAAGGTTGGTAATGTTGGTAAACTTGGTCTTGTTGTTGTTCTTGATATTGGTTGTTCTGGTATTTTGGAGTATTGATTTTTATCTTGTTTATTTAGCCATTCTAATGTTCTTCCAAAGTTTTCGTCTAGTAGCCATCTATCTGCCATTTGTTTTATTTCTTACAGTTCATTTATTGTTGGTAGATATTCTTCATGATATGGATGTTTTGGTGGTAATGTTTCTGGTAATTCTAAGCCTTGTCTTCTGGCTCATTGTTGTTCTTGGAACATTTGTTCTTCTTTGTCTTCTTTGTCATGCATTTTATCTAAGTTTTCTAGAGATATTCCCAATAGTTCTCTATATTTTGCTTGGTATTGTTCTCTTAATGGTTCACTTTCACATTGTTCCATTTGTCTGGCGAATCTTTCTATTAAGATTCATTGTTCATACTCTTGCATTGCTTCAAAATCTTTTCTGTCCAAGTTTAGTGCTTGGTTAGTTGTATATCTATATTCTTCTTCTAGGTCTTTTACTAGGTCTCTATTTTTCCAAAGAATAGCATCTTTTGTTTCTGTTAATGCGGATATTGTTTTGTATAGATA